TGTACGCGACTGCTGAGCTGCATGTTTTATCATTAGTGGTTTTATTACTATTCCCCTTTTGACGATCATCTTGCCTCTGTGAGCAGGTGATGGAACTTTCCAAACCATCAGACAAATTTATTAGGCTCACGAAGATTTTCGTCGCCATTGAATCTTCTTTATCTTTAATGGTCGTCGGTGCTTTATCGATCAGTCCTCGCTCTCTTCGTGGAGGGTTTTGTTGGCTCGCTGTCGAAGCAGCCTCTGCTGTAGACGCGCAATTGACCTCTCGGGGAAACTCGACATAAGCGTTCATTTTCCGAGAAAAACAAATCATTCCAATCAAGCCGTGTGGAATGGAATTTCACACCAATCGCACTTCGTAATAATTTTAAAAAATATGCTTCTTTGATCTCGTCGGTTTTTTGTTTTGTTTTTGTTTTTAGAGATCGCGGTGATTGGATCGACGCTGAGGCCTTGGTTAGCGCGCGCTCTGCGAGATAGCGGACGCGTGGGCAGTTCTGAGGGTGTCGGCCATAATTTATCGAACCGAAATCCAGACATATCAACTTCTCGAGTGAAAGAAGCAACGAAAAAGGAACAACGACGCGTATGAACCCTGTGGATGGAGAAATATCGGATCCAGTTTGGGTTTTCCTACGCACAGTAGGTTTCCGACAAAGAAAGGACGCCGCGAGCCGCCCGACCATTTATCTCGGAACGGCGCACGGACGATCGTGTAGCCCTCTCGCTATCGCCCGCTATGAGATCATCGCCAATTCGGATAAGTGGGCGCCGCCGACCCCAATCGCCGCTGGAATCAAAGACGCTCGAAGAAAACACGAAGCGAAGCATACTACCGCGTGGACGTTGATTTATAGAGGTGATGACTCCGCGCGTTGCCTCAGACGTCTCCGCGGATTTCCGTGGAAGAGATGACCTGGGGTTGGTTGCTACGTACCGTACTCTGTTTCACCTTACATGGACTGCAGAGGGCGCCACGAGTCTTCGAAACCAGTCCCATGCCGTGGGAGTGCCACGTGACCTTTGAGATGGGCGCCGTAAGGCACGTAGTCACGTGGTGCCTCCACAGCGCTGGATCGGCTGGGAAAACTCGGGAGGGCTCGTAGGGTCCGCAGCGTTTCATCGTAAAATGAAACGGAGTATTATTTTAAGAAAGCGGGAAGTCTTTTGCAACCTGCTGGTTTTCGAGCGGACGTTGGATTATCTCTGCAATCGTAGCGAGGCCTGAGAGAAAGATAGCGGCGGCGGCGGGAGATGCGTGCCCTCAGTGCTCCAAGTACCCGCCGTCCAACGGTCCGCAGCGTGGTCATCACAAGAGCCGCTCACATGTGCCCATCTGACTGTTTGTTCGTCTTTCCCATCTCTCGATTAGCATTCCAGTCCCGTTTGTCGTCTCGAAGAAAAGAGAAGGCTTGAGGCTAGCGCGTGCGACGTCCTTGCCACCTCGTGAGAAAACGAGTCTCGCTATTTTGTTTTCTGTTTTTTTGTGTTGTTTTTGTAGCACATTGAAACTTGCTATCTTTGATGTTTATGTTTAGTGTCGCGAGGGGGAAAAAGGGGGTGGGGGGGGGGGGGGGGGGGGGGAGCGGAGAGAAATAATCGTTGTCGTCGTTGTCTCTTTTGAGAGAGCTCCGGATTTGTCTTTCTCTGGTTGCGGAGACACTCACAAGGTCCATAGAAGGACGTAGACCGCTTACTCGTTGTCGCTTCGTTGGGGCTTCCGATACGAAGCAAAATGTTTCGGGCTTTAGATTACAATGTTTTTAAAGACCTGGTTAGTATTTTTGAATTTGGGATTACGACTGTCTTCATCTAAAGCAGCGTCCCTGACTTACGGGTATAATTTTTTATATCGATATTGTGTGTAGTTTTATAAATATCACGGGCTCAAAGTTTGGTTTCGGGCGTCTAAGGCAAAACCGAAACTATCTGCTAGAGGATGGCAACACTGATCACCAGCTGTACGGCCGCGATGTGACGTCACGAGTGGTGCGTTACGCAGTACAACCAATCAACCGCAGCTCCACCGTGACATGACGTCACAAGGTTACTGCGCCACTGTTCCTCGACTAAAAGCTAACCCGCTAAAGAGCAGCCGGTCGCATCTTTAAAATCGGTTTATTGGAGTATGCGGCTTCACTTGGACGTAATATTTCGGTTATGATTGTATTTCATGCCACTAAAGCAATAGCAGTAATTTATTGTGGTTTTGTTTTCGACCGGAGTTGTGCTTTAAGTGGAAAAGTGTCCATAGTTGCCTGTTTCATTGCAGCGCTGCAGGGATACGGGCGACTTTAGGCACTTTATGTTATCGCTTTTTAAAAGAATTCCTTAGAAGTTCAGACAAAAGGAGAGAGCCCTCCTTTTGTGTGATTACGAGGTGTAAGGTGCGACCATGCTTGGTTTGCTGTGGTATGTTTGTTTGTAGCGTAGATGCTTTATGTGTACGGTGTACCCCTTTTCAGGTGTGTTTATGTCTTACAGTTTGCAGTGTCAAATCTTTCTTTATTACCCTGAAACCCCTTCTACCGTATATGTTTTTGCGCCAAAATGCAGTGATGTGATTGCTGCGCTAATTGCGCCAAACTGCGCCAAGGGGCCAACCCTGCTACATCCTGCTACATTTTGCCAAAATATGGGCAATCTGCGCCAAGCCTGCGCCAAAGTACCAGTTTTGGTCGCCTTTCAAAACCGAAACTAAACTGAGTACCGTAATTGAGCAGGCCTGTGTTAGACGTGGTGCAAACGGCCGCCTGGCACAAAGTAACGTGCGTCAATTGTCCACCCGGTCTTGCATGGTTTTCACGGCGTCTCGCGTTTCACGCTCTCGTCTTGTGGGTCTCGTTTCTCGTCTCTTTTTTTTTTTTTTTCTTTTTTTTTAATATTTTTTGCGATAGACGCGGATGTGTGCACACACTCCGACGCTAGCGTGCCGGGTACCATGCCGTCATGCTGTGAAACGAAACCACGTTTTTGCGCGGCAGGAGTTACTTTGTGAGGTGAAGCAACGGCCGCGGGAAAACTATATTTGGTAACTGCCTTTCAGTTACCGTTGTCGCGCGACGTCGAATGTTGTTGCCACATCACTGCAGATATGGTACTTTCTAAAATGAAACTAAGTACCGCCGCATGTTCATCAACATTCCTGTTCTTGTTTAAATCATACGTTACTACAAAAATCCATTTTTAATTCAAAGACTGCTCTGTCAAAGTATTGATTACCTAGGTTTCTCTCGGTGGGCTTTCATTCGAGAGGGACCTCGGTACGTGAAAAATCTGCTGTGAAATAAAGTTGGTGAAGTGAGCTAAAGCAAAGAAGGCAATGTCTGCACGCTGAACCCGCGCAGCGCGCTTGTTGTCTCGAGTTCAGTCGTTGCGCAAAGCGCTCCAAGAACGTTTTGAGGCTGGCTCGTGATGTCTTGCATCGATGCGCTCAGGTTCTTTATGTTTGTGTATTTAGCTTGTACGTACCTTGTTTGCCGGCCTGGCAAGCATGCGCCACTGGGCTGTTTTTGTCGCATGCTCGAAAGTTACATTTTGTGTACAATTTTGGAGATAAGTTAGCGACGGAGCTGAGGGGCATGGTTTCGGTTTCGATCGGACAGCCGTTGTCTGCGCTCGCTCGACGAAGCATGCCCAACAGCAACTCTGCCGAAGTTGGCCTCACGTGCATGCGAACATGATTGCGTGACTGAGGCACCAGCTGGGACGCTTGCAATTCATTGTTTTACGTTTGCTTACTTTTGACGAAAATCTGGCACGTCGGGAACCAGTAAAACGGTGGAATGCGTTTTTCGAAATTGCTTGGCAATGCCTACAGCACTTTACACTTGTGGGATGTCTGAGCAAGTAAAAACAGAAGCAGCGAGTTCCGTCACAACACGTCACATCAGAACACAACACAGCACAAAGTGCCCTTCGTTTGTACAGCACTTAAAACGAATATTTTTATTTTCCTAAGAATATCTGCTCCAAAATCCACTTTAGCTGCTCCGAAACACTGTCTTGGATACTCCAAAAGCCGCTTCTGCTGCTCCAAAACACTGTTTTGGTTGCTCCAAAGGCCACATTTGCTGCTCCAAAACACTGTTTTGGTTGCTCCGAAACGTGCGCCAAAATGGCTTAGGCCAATCACATCACTGAAAATGGCAGATGAAAGCTAAAATAGAACAGTCACTGAGGGCGCTATTGAATGCTATGCCCTCTAGGCAGTTCTAGGCCACGGCCAAGGTGGTTTTCGCCAGACCCTGGTCGACGCGACGACGCTACTCGATAACTAGCTGGGAGTCGGGAGCTCATGCATGCACAGAACTCTTCTTGAAAAAGATCCATTGTGGTTCTCCAGTACTAGACAGGATTATTGAAATTGAGCTCAAAGATACAATCGGGGAGTAAGGTGACTAAGCCACGTCTTACTATGTTTGCATACGCATGCACAATATCTGGCATGTCGGGAACCAAGAAAAGTGTCCAGTCTTCCTTCTATATCGCTCGAGAATGGGAGTATTGTACATTTGTGGGAAGTCAGACAATCGAAAATGCAAGTAGCGCATTTGGTCACGGCACGGTAGCATGAACTGAAGCTGCTTAATTGAAACTACAACTGACTGGCCAACTAGTTCCCAGAGTGCACTGCATGGCATTTTGCCACGATGGAGCGCTTCGAATTTTGAAAGATGTCTATTTGCCGAAGGGCTGCAGAGGTTTCACTTTGGTGATATCCTCACATGTCTGATTTTTGTGCAATTATGTTTACTTACTGAACAATTGTAAAATATGTTGTTTACAGTCGCTAAATTATGCAGTTAACCAAGTTACTTTTGCAGTCCTCTCTGGGTACTATCCAGATCAGGAACATAATGCATGTAGACATATTTTCTCTTTGTTGCATTCTTTCGTTTCCTACAGATCTATGCCAATATATAGGTTGTTCAGCATTGTGGTTTTTAAACAAGTTTGGTACTCATGCTAATGTCTCCCTTCCTTTGTCTGTCCAGGAGTCTACAGCAGTTCCGTGGAGTCTGCGTCGTTCCTCAGTACAAGTACACCACCGGCCCGCAAGAGGGGACTCAAGGACAGCGAACAAAATGTTAGTAACTTACTGTATTTTTTGGACTAATACGGGTAGAGACTGGGGCCCGAAAGCAGGAGAGGAGAGCACACGAGGATTTCAGAACACCAAACTCTGGTTGGAATGATTAGTGGGTAGATGTAGAGTTAGCCGCCTTTGTCTCTACCGACTGTTCAAAAGCAAACGTTGAGTGCCGAACGCCGGAATTCGATTGCACTCTAGAGACGAAAGCAGTTAGCTTTTCGTCCACCGGTCATTCCACCCTGCCTTCGGTTTTCTGACGTTTCCACGCGTTGTCCGTTCCCTCAATTTCTACCTGTATACAGTTCCCGATAAACTATTCGGGTCCGATTGGGATCGCGCAGAAGTCTGAATAATCAAGCAGTCCGAAAAAGAGTGAACTCAGGCTGGAGAAACAGATCGATGATTTTCTAGATAGTGTTTGCCCGTTCGCGATCAGACCTCTTTTTTCATTTTAGCGGTTTGCGTTGGACGGCCGCACGATGGCCTATATGAAGTGCACTGTCCACGTCCATGAACTTCTCGAATGTCATGATAGCTTCAGTCAAGTTGTCCATAAACAAAACTATAAACAAAGAACAGCGGGAAACATTGAAGCAGTTCCCAAATGTTTAGACCACGATTTCTCTGTGAACAGCACAGAACAAAATCGCCTATCAAATCGACCACGGTTTCGCGAAAAAAAAGGCGCTGGTTCTGATTATAGCCTCAAAGCCTCAATCTGGCTCCTGTATTGCATGGACGGTGCCTCCTGGCATTGAACATGTGTGGAATGCGGTTCATGCGAGAACGTGGTTGATGCCGTGTTGAGGCTACAAGCCAAACCAAAAGAAACGAAAATGGCGGCGATTGGGTTGGCGGTGGAAATATGGCTGGCCACTAAAAAGTCTGAAAAAACGAGCGGCGAGGCATAGGTTGTCTGGATTTTCGTCTCCTCATCTCAGTCACTGACACTCCCTTCCATGGCTAGATGGTCTCCCATGGCTAGGATGACCGTATTAGACCTCGTGCATTTTTGGTGCCGCCTATCGGCATGTTTTTGAAAATGCCTGGCTGCAAGTCTCAGAGATGGTGGCCTCTTCGTCTGCATTTCAACTCAGTTCTGGACAAGCATTTTCAAAATCATGGTGACCGTTTGTTTAAAGAAGATCAATTTCTCGCTTGTTGACATTTAACAAAGTCTGTTATTGGTCATTGTATACAACCATAAAACCTTCATGAATTTTACTTCTAAACTAGTGAAAAGTATTTTTAAACAAAAAGGAGCTAAAAAGACGCTTTCCGCAAATTTCTGCCTTCATTATACAAAGGCGCAGCCTCACAATTTTACTGTACAAGGCATGGGCGTACCAACCGGGGGGGCAAGGGGGGCACTTGCCCCCCCAGTTCTCAGAGTGGGGGGGCAAGGCATGCGTTTTGCCCCCCCTGAAACGGCCGCCACTGGGCAGAGCAGACACAGGCCGGCGGCGCCCAAGGAATACCAAGGGCACTGCCCCCCGACCCGCGCGGGCATATTTTTAACGCGCAGGCGATACAAACCCTACCAACGGTGCTCACGCACGCCGGATTGGCTGGTTCGTAAAGCCTTGCTCCACGAACAAGGCTACACGGTAACCTTACGGAATCCATCCGCGGGACATGGGCCGGACGGGCCGTCCAGACCAGGACGTAGGCCCTTACACAAAATAAAGTTTTGCTTGCTTGCTTGGAGATAGGCGCTGCCGCCGTCAACATAGGCAGCGGATGCAATGCGAGTTTCCGAAGAGGTAGCGTAACTTAGCGGTGAGATGTCTGCCTCATACGTGTCAGACCCGGGTTCTATTTATGGTGTGGGCCGGCTTACTTCTTTTTATTTTTTTTCTCGAACATTTTGTTTTGTCGAGGCATTTGGCGATATTTACATTTCTTTTTTACCATTTAACACTAAAAAAACGAATGTTGTTGACGAAACATCGCTAAACTAAATCGTATCGACTCTATTTACGGAAGTGCATGGGGGGCAGCGGGGCTTGGGTTGCCGACCGGACACCGCAAAGCGGCGTGTACGGGGGGTGGGGGGGCTAGGTGGGTTAATAGATTTGTAATTAGCAGCCGCACACCGTCACCGCGAAGCGGCGTGAACGCAGGCACGGGGGTGGGTTAACGCGCTTCGAGTGATACACGAGCAGCCCATCCGGCGTGAGCGTCGTTGTTAGGGGTTCTATCGCCTGCACCGTAAAAGGAGCAGTGTGTGCACCTCCTGTAGTGGGCAAGAATTCCTACATTGGAGAGAAGCGGGGACAAGCCCTTTCTTCAAATGCGTCAAGTCTCCTTGAGCTTCGGAATACAAAGAAACGCCACTATTCGGAGCTAATCCCACAGTTACTCGACCTCTCTTGCGTCGTGTCTGTTCGCTCCCCGCGCCTCGTAGCAGTGTTGTTGCAGTGGGGGGGGCTCGTTGAAATTTTGGGGTTTTTTGGACTATCTAAATCACTTTCTTCCTTCCCATCCCCCCCTTTTCTACTCTGCATGCTTCCCCCTCTGCAAATATCAGCTGACCTTCCGACCTCTGTTCTCTGTTGATAGGCAAAACAACCACTAAAATTAGAAAGTAATTTGTAATTTGAGTGGAAATCACTCGGAAAAGTAGTTAAAGTAAACTACTGATTACTAGAATAGAAATGTAATTAAAAGTTACTAAACTACCCAGAAAAGTAGTTAAACTACAGTAACTTGAGTAAAGTAGTTGAACTACGTACAAGTCTGGCCTGGCAAGCGCTCTGCGTAAGTGTTTTCACTGATCTGCCTAGCCCCGCACACCATCACATGGGCCAAGAAAGGTGTAGTTTTACTGCAGAGGAGAAATCAGCAGGGTCCAAGATGGTGACAATGGAGGATGGGGGACTGTTCCAGTGGCTGATGGCTTGAGAAAGGAATGACCAATTGAAAGCGTTCGTAGAGCCAGAAGTGTGTTTGATGGTGCAGACGTTGTTGAGGCGAGAAGATGTTCGGTCGAGGGGTAATAACAAAGTGGTTTTGAGGTCGGGAATGTGGTAGTAGATTTTGTGAATAAGGCACAGCTGAGAGACTTTCCTGCGAAGCTGCAAAGAGGACATGGTTAGTTCAGTTTTTAACGCCGATACACTGAAAGAAAAGTCATAAGTGGATGAAATGAAGTGAGCAGCTCTGTTCTGAACTGCCTCTACAGCGTATTGATGAGGTACAGTCGATGGGTATTCCAGATGGTTGAAGCATATTCTATTTTTGGTCTGACGTACGTGTTAAAGGTTAGCTTAGGGACAAAGGGTGGAGCGATTTTTTAAGTTACGTCTGCTTAGTCCAAGAGTTCCAGATGAATCGGCGGTAATGACTTCAATGTGGTTATTCCAGGGAAGGTCAGATGTTAGTCTTACACCAAGGTATTTATACACAGTAGCGGTCTCAATCAGATCGGAGTCCAAGAAGTAATTAAATGACAGAGTGTTTTTTTTCTTGGTGAAGTGGATTAGTTTGCGTTTATACTTGTTTGGTGACATAATCCACTCTTTGCACCAATTGTTAATTTTATCTAGATCTTCCTGAAGCTGGTTATTATTTTGCACACAAGTTACTTTGTTATGGATGACGCAGTTGTCGGCGAAAAAGCGTTTTTTTGAAGAAATCCCAGTGGGAATGTCATTAATAAATATTAAAAAGAGTAAGGGCCCAAGTACAAACCCCAGGGGAACACCAGGAGATACATTTATTAAGGAAGATTCATGATCATCATGGACGTGACCTGTACACGGGAAAAAAGAAAGTCACGAATCCATGCAAACGGTTATTGGTCGAGGCAAAAAGATGATAGCTTAGAAAGAAGGCGTTGATGGAGGACACGGCCGAACGCTTTGGAAAAAAAAAAAAAAATTGCGTCAGTTTGGACGTGACATTCAAGGTTAGTGTGCAAGTCATGGATGAAGTCGCAGAGTTGCGTTTCGCAGGAAAGTACCTTTTGAAAACCGTGCTGCTGTTTAAAGAAAAGAAATGGGATGATAGGTGCCTCATGATATTGGAGTAGAGGATATGCTCAAGTAGTTTGCAAGAAATTGAAGTCAATGAATTAGGGCGATAATTAGATGCGGAAGAGGGGCTGCCCTGTTTAAAGACTGGGAATTACCCTTCCCACCTTTTGGTGAGATGGAAGGCAGCTTTGAGATGAGAACTGAATGAAGATGAGTTTCAAATACTCACTAGAAATAACACGGGTGTTTCTTTTAAATTTTAGGGTTGATGTTATCGGTTCCAGCGGACGAAGTAAGTTTTAGTTTATCAATCAATGTTTTAATACCAGCGGAGTTAACGTTAATAGGATGCATGCGCTCGTAAAGCTCTTCAGGGAGAGTGGGGACGAAGTCCAAGCACTCGTTAGTAAACACTGATGAAAAGTATTTGTTAAACACAGAACTATCATGCTCGACGTTGCACATCCGACATTCCTAACTCTCCCCATCTTCCTAAACGTCCGTGTGTGTCCTAACACCAGAAACCGGAATTTTAAAGGTTAAAAACGGCGCATTGCGAATATGGAACGCGCACTTTCATGCAAAGCTGACGTCAAGTGACTCAAATCGAAAAACATGCATATTTACAGTATTGTTATCTCTTCGGGTGAAGGCTAAACAACCGTTGCATCCGTTTTCGCGCACGAAACGGTGACTCCCAGAGAAAGTAAGAACGCAGTGATTGTCTTTATTTTAACAATGTAAACACACTTGCAGGCGTGCGCTGATGAAGCCTCAAAATCAAAACTCTCGTAGTGTGATTCGTGACTGCTCCGGCTACTACCCAACCTCGTTGTCACGCCACTTTCTGCAAGCAAACACTAAAATTGCCAGTAAACACACAAAAGCGACATCGAGCGTACGCGCAGTGGCGCCGGTCGGCTACCGGGTACCAAACCGGGACCGGTTCTCCGGTTTGCTATAACTCTCCATTATATGCCACCGATGCACATGATTCATAGGTGAAAATAAGACAAT